GAAGGCAGTAAAGGATGAAGAATAGAGAAAGAAGAAAGGGAGGAATGAACGAAAGAGGGAAGGATGTGAATAAGGAAAAGAACGATAGAGAGCGGAGGAGGAGAGGGAAGATGAACATAGATAAAGAATCAGAACTGACAGAGCTGGAGGAGAGGAGGTGAATGACCGCAGGAGAGAGAGAGAGAGAGAGAGAGAGAGAGAGAGAGAGAGAGAGAGAGAGAGAGAGAGAGAGAGAGAGAGAGAGAGAAGAGAGAGAGAGAGAGAGAGAGAGAGCTCAGATAGACATAAAAAGAGAGGAACAGATAGAAAGTGACAGAAAAAAAAGATCCTCATATAACCATATATGTTATTTGGGAGACAAAAAGAGCTTAGAGAACGAAACTGTTACACTTTTTTTCAATTATGAATTAAAAGTGACATGGTTGGAAATACCACAATTTACTCGGGACGGCCAGAAGGGTGAAAATTCCTTGCGATTGGTTGCTCTGGGCGAGAAGTTGAACAGGAAAACCGAGCCAATATTTTTTTTTCTTTCTACCTCTCCCTCTTAGTAAAGGTCATTTTGTCTCTGTGGTTTCAAGTCATTAAAGAGACACATGAAGAAAAAAAAGAAATGGTCTTGGTCTATTTGTCATACTTTTTGAATATCATGTACCTGTGCCTATATCTTTTTTTTTTCTCTCTCTCTCTTTTTTTAATACTAAATCCCTGTTGACCTTCTGTTTCTGTGTCTATTCTCGTTCCCTTTCTCTCCCTTTTTATGTCTTTTTTCTCCCTGCATTTCTTAATACGTATGTTATTTTTCAGTATCTCTGTATATATGTCATCTCTCTGTACCTGTGTATGCCTTTTTTGTACCCTGACTGACAGCCTGTTAACCTTCTGTACCGGCGTGTACCAGTCACCTTTCTGTATGCCTGTTATATTCCTTTACGTGTCTCTATATCTGTTATCTGTCTGTATATTTATGTCTGTTATTCCTCTGTGCCTGTCTGTACGACTGTTATTTTCTTGTACTTGCATACATGGCATGTCTGTTACCTCTTTGCATCTTCTCTTTCGTATGTGTTATCTTTCTTTATCGGTCTGTGTGTCTGTTATCTTTCTTTATCGGTCTGTGTGTCTGTTATCTTTCTTTATCGGTCTGTGTGTCTGTTATCTTTCGATATCTTATCTCATGATTCTTAAAATGGATTAAGCCGCTTATCTGTAATAGAAAGTCTTGCAAGGTTCTTGACAGGTCTCAAGGTTAGTGTCTTTAGAGATAGAGATGGAAGGGGAAGAAAGTGAGGAAAGAAAACACACGTGATAATGAAAATGAAAATAGAATGATAATAATAAACTTAAAATGAAAATAGAATGATAATAATAAACTAAAATTATAATATATAAATAATAGTAAAAGAGATATGATAAGATAGAATAGAAAAGAAATAGTAAAAACAAAACAATTATAATAGATAATAATAATAAGGAAAATAAAGACAAAAAGAGATGCTTGTAAAATGAAAGTCTGACATGCTACGCCACCTGGATCGCAACAAACGAAAAGAATGCGAGAGCAAATGCAGTGAATAAGCAAAATATATATATATATATATATATATATATATATATATATATATATATATATATATACTATATATATTTACTAAATATAATATACTATATATATATATATATATATATTATATATATATATATATATATATATATATACTATATAATATATAAATTATATATACTATATATATATATTATTATATAATATATATATATATATATATATATATATATATATAGAGAGAGAGAGAGAGAGAGAGAGAGAGAGAGAGAGAGAGAGAAAGTGAAAGTGACTAAAAAACAAATTCACAGAGAGAGACAATGAAACAAAGACAGAGACAGAGAAAGTAAGAGAGAGAGAGAGAGAGAGAGAGAGAGAGAGAGAGAGAGAGAGAGAGAGAGAGAGAGAGAGAGAGAGAGAGAGAGAGAGAGAGAGAGAGAGAGAGAGAGAGAGACAGACAGACAGACAGACAGAGACAGAGAAAGTAAGAGAGAGAATGAGAGAAAAAAATGCGCAGACCCTCGTGAGAAGCGGAGGCTGACCACGGCGGCGGGAGGTCAGACGCAGAAGAACCAGGAGACCAAATGTGACAGGAAAGGAAGGGAAGGCGAGCACAGGTGAACGCAGAAAGCCGACCTTGGAGCCCCCTCAGCTTCAGTCCAGCCAGGGACTTGGTTTTCGCTCGCCACAAGGAGGAAGTGGAGTGAGCGAAGTGGCTTTTTTTTATGTGCTTTGGTTTTAAAACAAGTTGAATGGCAGGATGTTTTTTTTTTTTTTTTTTTTTTTTTTTTCTCCAGTTAGATATTCAAAAGATGAAGTTCTCTGGTAAGTTACTTAAAAGATCATCATCTCTAGAATATTGTTCAAAAGATGATATTCTTTTGGCAAATTAGTCATTAGGGTCATATTTCCCGATATTCTCTGGTAAATTAGTCATAAGGGTCATATTATCTGATATTCTCTTGTAAATTATTCATCTGATAGGCTTAATGACAGCTTGTTGTGGACTCACGAGAAAAGACGAATTGTGAAAGGAAAATCTGGATTAACTGGGCCATCTGGTTCTTAGGAAGGGGAAGAATGGCGAGCACGTAAGTAGATATGCATGAATAGGTATCTACAAAGCTGCTACATGTTCTTTTGCTCTCTCTCTCTCTCTCTCTCTCTCGTCTGTCTCTCACCTCTTCTTCTCTCTCTCTCTCTCTCTCTCCTCTCTTCTCCTCTCTCTCTCTCTTCCCTTCTCTCTCTCTCTCTTCTCTTCCCTTCTCTCTCTCCTCTCTCTCTTCTCTCTCTTCCTCTCCTCTCTCTCTCTCTCTCTTCCCTTCTCTCTCTCTCTCTCTTCCCTTCTCTCTCTCTCTGTCTCTCTGTCTCTCTCTCTCTCTCTCTCTCTCTCTCTCTCTCTCTCTCTCTCTCTCTCTCTCTCTCTCTCTCTCTCTCTCTCTCTCTCTCTCTCTCTCTGTCTCTGTCTGTCTGTCTCTCTCTCTCAGCTTGGTGTCAGTTTCCTGACCTTTTACTGCACCTTTTTTCCAGAATCCTGATTTCTTGCAATACATGAATGTCTATTTTCGTGCATGCAGATTGTCTAGTAAGGCTAACGTTTAGTCACTGCGTCCTAGAGGGTACGCTTGGTATACATTTTCTCACATGTAACTGCACCCGCTATAATACACATGTACATACGCACGCACACATTCACAATGCAACACAAACAACACTGCACACGAGACAATCAAAGCAAATTACTACAACTGGAAGTACTCGGAGGTCACACACCTCTTACGTCAAGGCAAGAGGGTAACTGGTGTAATAAATTTATTCACACTTAAAGAATGACATGAAAAATCACCGCTTTTTCAAGTACACTGGTGACGTTCGTGGTTTCCTTATCTCGCAGTGCTAAGGAATTCTTTAAAAAATCCTGGATCTGGACATTGTAAAGGATTCAATGGCATCTAAATTTGCCTAACACACAACTTTGTTAAAATTTTCATAAAAATCTGTTTATAACTTTTTTGTGTTATCCTTCTAACCAACTAACCAACGAAGAAACGAACTAACCAACGCTGCCACAAAACATATCCTCTTTGGCGGAGGTAATAACGAAACATAGCATAACAGCATGGCACAAAATAATACAACACGACACGGCATAACACAACACATTACAATACGACCGAACCTAACACAAGAACCAAACCACAACACAACAGAACCCACCAAAAACACAACCCCCCGCCTGCCCCCCCCCCCATAAAAGAAAAACAACCTTACCCAAAACGCAACACCCCCCTCTCCCCCACCCATCCTGCCCTCCCTTCCTCATCCCTCGCCCCCCCTCCCTCCTCCCCTAACCACACCACCTCCCCTCCCTCCCCCAGAAGACCTCAGGATACCCTTCCTCCCCCCTCCCCTCTCCCTCCCCCTCGACCACACCACCTCCAGAAGACCTCCAGGAAGACCTCAAGGAGACCTCCAGAAGACCCCAGAAGACCTCAGGGTACCCACCCGCTTCCCTCCCTCCCTCATCCCTCCTCCCCCTCGCCCCCTCCCTCCTCCCCTCGACCACACCACCTCCAGAAGACCCCCAGAAGACCTCAGGATACCCACCCCGCTTCCCTCCCCCCCTCGCCCCCCTCCTCCCCCTCGACCACACCACCTCCAGACCCCAGAAGACCCCAGACCCCCAGAAGACTTCAAAGAGACCCCCAGAAGACCTCAGGACACCCACCCGCTGCGTGTCAAAGTTCGACTCCAGCTGGATGATGGGGCACTCCCCGCGGATGAGGAAGGCGTCGTCGGAGGCAGCGCTCGCCAAGACGCCCTCGCCGAGCAGTGAAGACGCCAGGATCGCCAGGACCTTCCTGAAAGAGGGATCGGATTGAAGGACGTTGGTTTTAAGGAGGGTGGCTTGAGGAGGAAGTGGGCTAGATTAAGGAGAATGGGTTGAGGAGGGAGGCTTAGTTGAGGAGGGGGGTTGGGTTGAGGAAGGAGGCTGAGGAGGAGGGTTGGATTAAGGAGGCTGAGTTGAGGAAGGAGTTTGGGTTGAAGAAGGAGGCTGGGTTGAGGAAGAGTGAAGTCGGGTTGAACCTTTAATTGAGAAACGTAGCTAATAATAAAATATACCTTCTTCAAATATAATATATATATCTTTCTACACTTCATATATGGCGTTAGATTAACATTTTATTTCGCATATTTGCAATTGCAAGCTGTCACCAATTGGCAACATTACTAGTTCCGAAGTAATACCTCGTGTAATTATAGTTAAAAAAATAGTAGTGAGTTTGAAATGATTTTATCATTCATAGGAAGATTACTTTACTATGAATAGAAAAAAAAAATAAGATATATTTTTGCATTAGAAATATTTTTTTTACACAGTAAAGTTTAGCAAAAACACAACTTACATTCAAAAACGCATTTTCTTTGCAATAACTATATAAGAATAAATCACGAAAATAATATAATGAGACGCCTCACAAAGGAAATAAGTATCCTTTTCACTGCCGAAAACTATGTATGGGCACATTACATTGACAAGTGTTTTACAGATTAGCCGTTTAGCTACATATATGTATGGGAAAGTAGGTAAACTGTAAGGGCATATATTTACATGTAAACAAGATTTTTTGTGATTTGGATACCATATAGTATATGAAAATTGGAATATGATCAACCATAATGTAGCTAAGTAGCCAATTGGTTAAGCAAAAGGGTGGGGGTGACATTTTGAGTCGTCATATGGATGCACAATACTTTATATCGTTGTCTTGGATAACTAAGGAGTTAAGGTTCATCTTTTCTATCCCTAGTTGCGCTGATATATACCCAGTAAAAGTACACACGGTAATTTTGGGGGGGGGGGGGGGGGTATACGTCCGCCAAGCAGACAGCGACGATATTAGTATCACTGGATTCCTCTCACTGTTTACAAAGCAAATACGTAGGTTTTTATTGCGCGAAAACCCCCTCTTTGGCGACAGCCCCGATAGCAGGGGAAGGGCATGAAAGATTCCGGGGAAATTGCGGGGTGAAATAACACTGATAATACACTAAATGGACAGTATACAATTACTAATCAATTAATAAGTCGCTGCAATGTATGTCGCCATCTGTTGCATAAAAATATAGCCTCGTGGTGGGGTTCCCATCTTCTAGAAACCACGACAGGAGTAATACGGTCGAATTTCTGAAAACCACGAGATACGGGTTAAGAACAGGCCATAGCCGCCGCGATGACCGAATGAGGAGGGTGTGCATGCTCAAGACTAACGTTGTGCGCGAGGTCGCCACCAGCCGCCTCCATCACCTTCAGCATCAGCTGAGCACCTCCTAATCCTCAGCAGCATCGATCAATCAGGTTAGTACTTTTCTTATCCGAGGTTGTAAAGTACAGAGTCCGCTCCTCCGTATCTACGTGTGAGCTATATCTTGACGTGAATACGTGGAGGATTCTTTCTCGACGTGGGTAGGGGGACGGTAGGCGCCATCAGTGAATAATAATGTGAATTATCATCCATATGTTGCGTGTGGTATGTTATTTATGCCATTTCGCTGAAACCTTTCATGCCCTCTCCTGCTGTCAAGGCCGTTTGTCGCTAAAGGAGGATTTCCGGGCAATAAAACCACAACATATTTGGTCGTAGAAGGTGAAACGAATCCAACGTTGCCGAAATCGTCGCCGACGGCTTGGCGGACGGACGCGCTGTGGGTAAGTAGGCCGAGCGTGCGAGGGTAAAATGCGATTCCAAACTCCGTGCTGGGTCTGTTCCTTTTGTTCTCCCAGTCGCTCTACGTTCTGCCACCAGGGACGCTCAGATTACAGGGATCATGGGTATAAAACTTTACCTAAATTATATACGTAAAATCCGTATATTAATCACATTTCATCTTAATTTGTTGAAAACATTGCTTCTTCATACGTCACTGGCACTCCAAGCATCTTGTAGCGATAGTGTATGTATACTCACATTACAGGGATCATGCATATATGATAGGTTGTATAAATAACTAAAATATATCTTTGTGCGAGTATAAATTAAATCTTTTACTTCTGTATGTATATAAAAGTACTGTATATAATCTCATTATCATAATATCACTGGTATTTATAATATGGAATAGTGACCAAAGTTTACTCATATCGCAACACGCACAAAACTCACTCAGAAGCTTTCTCTTAAATATGAATGTATATGGAAAAATAGAGCTACCAAACAGCAAATAGGACAGAGGCAGGAGTCACTAGAATCCATGTGTTCCGAAGGGTATAAAAACTAGCCAAGGAGGGGTAGTAGTGGCCTGAAACCAGTATCGTTCTGGCTCCTTCACTATGATGTCATCCGTTTTCTTTGAGGGTAAACTATTTTAGAAAATTATGCCGTGGAATTTGGGGATATAAAGTGTTAATAAGTTAATGAAAGGGTTAAAGGAGGTGGTTTGGGGTTCTTATTTTTCGTTTGCTTTTGCTTGTGGTTTGTTTTAGTTACTAGCGAGTTATTTAGTTCCTAGTTATGTACGTTTTGTTATTTGTTTTGCTAGTGATTCATTTGTTTCCTAGTGATTTGTTTTTGCTAGTAATTTATTTGCTTTGCTAGTGATTTACTTGTTTTCTAGTGATTTAATTTTGCTGATGAGTCATTTAGTTTGCTATTTATTCTTTATATATATATATATATATATATATATATATATATATATATATATATATAATCTGACGCGTCAACATCTGTCATTAGCATTTAAAATAGGGTGATAGGGTGAGGCTTAAGGACGAAGCCTCCAGGTAAGGAAAGGTTATACAGCACCATGATAAGATATTGTGGCGAAAAGGGTAGAAAGAGTTAACGAATAAGACATATTGTGTTAGATGTCAGAGGTTGTAGAGCACTGAAGGTTAGTATGTTATTTAAAAGGGTAAAGAAGAAAGAGAAACG